ATATACTGAAACACTGGATTCCTCATTAAAACTTTTCTCCTTTTATGTGTTTCCATCAACAGATTTTAAAACAAAATAGTTCCCATATTTAAAAGTGTTATCATGAATGAGGGAGTGAATGGACGAAGTGGGACCATCCCTAGTTGCTGTTTCGTAATTCTCTCCTTACAAGAGCTAAACCACCTGGTGTCGCTATCAAAATGTTTGTTAACAGATGTTAATGCCTGTGAGCTGGAACTGATGTAACACGAAATATACGTAGATATGTCGACACTGACGTCGTAAATGTTCACGACACTCCCGACTTGATGCATCAGGAGTGTCTTTAATGCTGAATCAATTTAAAAGTAGTAGAAATATACAAATAAACTGTTTCCTTAACATTCCTGCTTAAGTAAAGCACAATGGCTTTGGAGCAAGCTGTGTGGGCAGGAAACAAGTTTTGTTATTGAAACCCACACTGACTACGAAAGGCTTCAGTCTGTCTCAGACCAACTAACAAGAAACACTCTGTCCCTGCTGTGACCGTTTGTCTTGGGGGTCTTTGATCGTTCCATGGTGTTGTTGACTGTCAAAACATGGTTACGTGAACATTGTGCTGATGCAGCATTATCAAACCTCACTCACTCGGCCAACCATCAACCAGGCAAACAGGTGTCTCTACACTCCAAGACAGGCATGTGGGTCCCTAAACCCCTACCTCTAGACAGGCACACACTTGTCCTCCCCGCCCCAGACAGGCAGACATATGTGTCCCCTCACTCCCCCAGACAGGCAGACATATGTGTCCTCCACCCTCAGACAGGCAGACATATGTGTCCTCCACCCTCAGACAGGCAGACATGTGTGTCCCCCACCCCCAGACAGGCAGACATATGTGTCCCCCACCCTCAGACAGGCAGACATGTGTATGCCCCACCCCCATACAGGCAGACATATGTGTCCCCATCCCCAGACAGACAGACATGTGTGATCCCTCACCCCCAGAAAGGTAGACATGTGTGTCTTCTCACCCCCAGACAGACGTGTGTGTGTCTTCTCACCCCCAGACAGGCAGACATTGCATGTCCCCCGCCCCCAGACAGGCTGGCATGTGTGTCCTTCACCCCCAGACAGGCAGACATGTGTGTCAACCACCCCCAGACAGGCAGACATGTGTGTCAACCACCCCCAGACCGGCAGACATGTGTGTCCCTCATCTCCAGACAGGCAGACATGTGTGTCCCCTCCCCAAACAGGCAGACATGTGTGTCCCCCACCCCCAGAGAGGTAGACATGTGTGTCCTCCACCCCCAGACAGACATGTGTGTCTTCTTACCCCCAGACAAGCAGACATGTGTGTCCCTCATCCCCAGACAGGCAGACGTGTGTGTCCCCTCACCCAGACAGGCAGACATGTGTGTCTTACTCTTCCAGACAGGCAGGCACGCGTGTCCCCTCCCCCAGACAGGCAGACATGTGTGTCTCCCGCTCCAAGACATGCAGACATGTGTGTCCCCTCCCCAGACAGGCAGACATGTGGTCTCCAAGACATGCAGACCATCCCTCCCTCAGACAGGCAGACATGTGTGTCCCTCCCCCAGACAGGCAGACATGTGTGTCCCTCCCCAACAGACATGTGCCCCCTCCCCCACACAGGCAAACATCTGTGTCCCCTCCCCAAACAGGCAGACATGTGTGTCCCCCACACCCAGAGAGGTAGACATGTGTGTCCTCCACCCCCAGACAGACATGTGTGTCTTCTCACCCCCAGACAGGCAGACATTGCGTGTCCCCCGCCCCCAGACAGGCAGATATTGCGTGTCCCCCGCCCCCAGACAGGCTGACATGTGTGTCCCTCACCCCCAGACAGGCAGACATGTGTGTCAACCAACCCCAGACAGGCTGACATGTGTGTTTCCCACTCCCAGACAGGCAGACATATATGTTCCCTCCCCCAGACAGGCAGACATGTGTGTCCCTCAACTCCAGACAGATAGACATGTGTGTCCCTCAACCCCAGACAGGCAGACATGTGTGTCCCTCACTCCCACACAGGCAGACATGTATGTCTTCTCACCCCCATACAGGTAGACATGTGTGTCTTCATACCCCCAGATAGGTAGACATGTGTGTCTTCATACCACAGACAGACATGTGTATCACCTCACCCCCAGACAGGCAGACATGTGTGTCCCCACCCCCAGACAGGCAGACATGTATGTCTCCTTCCCCCCAGACAGACAGACATGTGTGTCCCCTTCCCCCAGACAGACATACATGTGTATCCCCCAGCCCCAGACAGGCAGACATGTGTGACCCACCCCACCCCCAGACATGCGTGTCCCCCCACCCCCAGACAGGCAGACATGTGTGTCCTCCTCACCCCCAGACAGGCAGACATGTGTGTCCCCACCCCCAAACAGGTAGACATGTGTGCCTTCTCACCCCAGATAGGTAGACATGTGTCCCCTCCCACAGACAGACAGACATGTGTATCCCTCACCCCCAGACAGGCAGACATGTGTGTCCCCACCCCCAGACAGGCAGACATGTGTGTTCCCCACCCTCCAGACATTCATGTCCCTCCCATCCCCCAGACAGGCAGACACTGTGTGTCCCCACCCAGACCAGACATGTGTGTCCCCACCCCCCTCGTGTCCCCTCACCCCAGACAGGCAGACATGTGTGTCTTCTCACCCCCAGACAGGCAGACACACGTGTCTTCTCACCCCCAGACAGGCAGACATTGTGTGTCCCCCAACTCCCTACACCTTATCAGGCAGACACATGTATCCTATCTGTATCCATTCAATGACGTCCATCTGAAAGAATTGTGCAGCAGCCCATTGCCCACTATATCTATAGTTATGATTTAGGGACATCCAATACCACACAGCTTTAGGTATTCTAGATATGTAAAGAAAGGCGGTACCTCCTGACTCAGCACATCACACACATACACATCCTTTAAAAGATGACACTGAAATGCACAAATGATAATTCAAGCTCCAAACAAATGATGATATCACAAAAGGTTCGACATCTTTTTTCACAATTCCATGCAAATGAATCATAGCTTGGAATTAAATCTTCAACAATGGTGTATTCCTTGAATCATTCTCATGACTCATAATCAGGACACAAAAAGCAAATTTGATTAAAATAAAGAAATTAAATGCAGCATATAATTTTAATTCCGAAATGAATTGTTGGACATGTAGCAGGCCCCAAATGGTAAACATTCAGACTTCAGACTTGTATCAAGCTGTTCAAGCCTCCACTTAAACGAAGTGAAAACTGATTAATTGTTCGTTTAATTACCAGCCTGGTCCTGGTGCCTGTGATTCACAGACTCTCGCAGACAGGCTTACATATTGCAAGGAACTAGGCTGGATTGGCAGTTTTTACCTCTGAGGGAAAATGTTTGTTTATTCTTTCCATGAACATTTTCCAGAGCAAGCCTGAAGCTAACTGTTCCCCATCTTGGTACTCTCTCAGTGCCAGCCCTTGCCTGCGGCACAGACGAGAACCAGAAATCAGTGCCGTGTGTATATACACCAATACTTACATTACACATCAGGCGCCAGAGTCAAATCAATTGCCAGTCAAGACATAAATTATAGAAACACTTGCATAGAGTATTGGTTGGAGGAATGTGAGTATGGGTTCGTATATTTTTTTTCTTGCTTTGTCAAAAAATTTGTTGCAGTTATCGCTATTTCCACTCTATGCCTCTCATACTAAAATGAAGAAACTTAAGAAACTGGACCCAAAATTGTCTAGTCTCCAGGGCAATTGATGAAATATTGTTTACAGGCTGAGAATGTTTACATGGGGACCACTAGTATCAACGGACAGTGACAGAAAATAGGCAGTGACAGACAAAACCATCACCAGGTAATGACAGACAAAACAATCACCAGGTAATGACAGACAAAACAATCACCAGTTAATGACAGACAAAACAATCACCAGTTAATGACAGACAAAACAATCACCAGGTAATGACAGACAAAACAATCACCAGTTAATGACAGACAAAACAATCACCAGGTAATGACAGACAAAACAATCACCATGTAATGACAGACAAAACAATCACCAGGTAATGACAGACAAAACAATCACCAGTTAATGACAGACAAAACAATCACCAGGTAATGACAGACAAAACAATCACCATGTACTGACAGACAAAACAATCACCATGTAATGACAGACAAAACAATCACCAGTTAATGACAGACAAAACAATCACCAGTTAATGACAGACAAAACAATCACCAGGTAATGACAGACTAAACAATCACCAGGTAATGACAGACAAAACAATCACTAGGTAGTAGAAGAAGACAAAACAATTGCAAGGGAATAATAGACAAATCAATCAATGGAAGTGAAAGCCAAAAGAAATCAGTTTAAGTGAAAGACAAAACAATCACCAGATAATGACAGAAAAACAATCACCAGGTAATGACAAAAAGCAATCACCAAGTTGTAGAAGACAAAGCAACTGAGTAATAACAGACAAAATAATCACCATTTAGTGACAGACAAAACAATCATCAAGTAGTAACAGACAAAATAATCACCAGGTAATGACAGATAAAACAATCACCAGGTAGTATCATACAAACATGGTACAACTGTACCACAGAAGTTGCTATCCTTGCTATCTTGTCAGTATTAATCAACTAAAAATGACACCCACAGATCTTATCTCAACACATTCCATTTTTTATTAAACCCCAAATATAAAAAAACCATTCCAATTTACCAAAAACAGCATGCCAATATTAATCATATTCTCATTACGGCAAAGAATATAACAATTCTTTCTGCCACAGCCGTGTTCAACGCTACAGCTGAGCAGCTCTCAAGGAGTCAGGAAACGTTTACGAGGAGCTAACTACACAAGTGTGCAAGACAGTAGCGGTGCCAGGAGAGTGTAAGCTCCACCAGCCTGCCGGTAAAAAGACCCCACATCTCACTTCCCCCTCAGTTCTGTGAGGCCTGGCGACCAGTCTACACCAGTGGTTTCTACTACACAAGGGCTGCATGGTGGTGGAGTACGATAAGTGCCTGTCACATGATGGATTTATTCCTGTGGAGTGTTCACTGATTTATTCTGTGTTTATCTCACTTTACAACTGGGATTGTTTCAATATGATTCTGTAAAGCATTTGTTTAATCTGGATTAATATTCATCACCGTCAATCTCAACAGGGACTGTCATGTGACCCGATACCTTGAATCTGAGTTGTTCAACAAGAAACAAGAAACAGAGAACATCTGTGTTTGAATTCAAATTCAAACTCAAAGATTCTGCTTTGGATCATAAATCATTGTTAATTGTTGTTTATGGACTTGACAATGCAGGCAAACAGAGCCTCAAAAACTTATCCCAAAGTGTTTCTCATTTGAGCCCTGTTTTTCCAATCAAGGAGATATCTATAAGAAGCAATCTGTTTTTACTCTCTGTACTTTCTTGCATTGAGTTAACATCCATCAGCAACATGGCTCAGCTACTGAGATTCATTCAGGTTGTGATTCTATCAATCAACATTGGAGTGTTTGCGACGTTTCTACCGCAAAAAGATGTGCACGTCGCCGAGGAAACTTGTGTCATGAGCTTTGTAATTCCCAGTGAAAAGGTGAAAAATTCGTGTCAGATAGATGAAAGGGTCAAACAACGAATGAATCGTATGGAAACGAAGTTAAATATGTACAGACGAGAGGTAAGCCAACTTCAAGGTCGTCTTCAGAAAGAAAGACAACTCTTTCATGATCGACTTCAAGCCCTGGAGGCTAAAATGACCACTTTCAATCCAATGAACTATCACACATTGGAAAAGAAGTTAGAAAATATGGAAATAGTTCTGAAGAAAGGAAGCGAAACTTTGGAGCCAGTTGATAGGAGATATTCTGATGTCAACAAAGGTGGGACTTTTAAAACAAATCTATTACATGACAATGAAAATCTGGAGAATCTTGTCAAACCAATTGTCATATCCGAAATTGAAAACTACTTGGAGAATTTCACCAGAAAGTCTGAAGGTAGTGAAAAAAATCGAAATATCGAGAACAACGAAATTATGGACATGTGGCCCCGAAGTGACCAATCATATGCTGTGGAAGAAGATATGAACAGAAACATAAGCAAAACTAACGTCATGATCCAAGAAATTGAAAACCTCCAAAACAAATTGAACCAGACGGGTGATGCTTTGGCTTCAGCGCTTGGGAAAATACTTAAAAACATTACAATAAAAGGCAACAGCGTTGTTTATCGTGACAATGTCACACAATTATCAAACAGTTCCCAGAACTCAGACCAACCAAAACAATCAAGGGAGGTAACCCATCAGATGGAAAAAGCTTCATCAAGGATTTCTGGAACTGAAGGTGGGTCTGACAGTCAGAACGATCAGAAACACGTAAATGATAACATGTATGTTGCTAACGTGTACTCGGACGAACTGGAAGAGCTGCTCCGATTGGAAATCAACAACCTCTTGCAATCTCATATGGAGGAAGTCATCAACCTCATGAGGAAGCAGTCGGTGAAACTTGTGACAGCTGTTGACGAGCAAGGGAAAGACATTGATAAAATTGAGGAAGGACATGAAGAAACGATGAAGCGGTTGCAGGACAGAGTTGACGGAATCAAACTTGAACTATCATCCATCTCACAGGCAGTTCAAGAATTTTATGCCAAAATGGAAAAAATGCAGAGTTTGCAAGTAATTGTGGAAGAAATTAAGAAAAATATGAGTTCTATGTCAGCTTCACGCAATCAACAAATGGTGAGCAGAGTAGACGAGCATGGAAAGAAGCTGAGGACACTTGATCGATTGGGTGGGATCTTCCAACAATCCCTTCAGCATTATCGAAATGAAAGCAAGATGGCTTATACAGACATGCAACATAAACTGGCAAGCCTTGAGGTCAACCTGGCTCAGGAACTGTCCTTGGAGCTGTATTCGAATATCACCTCTCAGTTCAATCGGCAATTCGATCGTTTTGATAACACACTGAAAAGCAGGTCAAATTCCATGGAGACAGCTGTTCGTAATCTGGAAGACAATTCGGTTCTTCTTCAAATGGACATCAAGAATTTAGAAAGGCGACATAAGTCGAAAACAGGAAAGCTGGAAGAAGACTACAGGAATTTGAAAAATCGTGTTGATAGAGTTCTTAACCAGAACCGCAAATTGATAGAAAATGTCAACAGCATCAAAGGAGAGCAAGCGTCACTCCAAACCTGGGTGAACACGACATCCTTAACCCTGGATAGTTTAGGAATTGAATTCCGGCTCAGTGTCACCGACACGTGGGTGGAGTATGACTTTGATTATGACACGTCCCGTACGGCATGTTTCGGCAAGCAGTATATCAGGAAGACCAAGTACAAGAATGCACGTCTGGCAGGAGTTGTGTTGTGTAACAATAACCGCTATAAAATCATGCTAGCAAACTGTGTGCGGGAAAAGTTCTTAAATGTTGGCGATATAAACGGTTTCGGAGAGGATCATTGTGAATTTGTTGGGACCACCAAATCTTCCGTTATCCTCCTAAGTCCACCTGCCATATCAGCAAAAAACAGAAGAAGGTAAAGCACAATTTTAATTTTCTTTAACCTTTCATTCTTTCTTTTCTGACCCGTGAAGATCCGAGGTAAAATAGGTCTTCAGCAACCCATGCTTGCCACAAAAGGCGACTATGCTTGTTGTAAGAGGTGACTAATGGGATCGGGTGGTCAGGCTTGCTGCCTTTGTTGACACATGTCATCGGTTCCTAATTGAGCATATCGATGCTCATGCTGTTGATCACTGGAATGTCTGGTCCAAACTCGATTATTTACAGACTGCCGCCATATAGCTGGAATATTGCTGAGTGCGGCGAAACTAAACTCACTCACTCACTCTTTCTTTTCTTATGCACATCATGGTTTATAAAAACACAGACACAATTGCATGTGCAGGGTTGCATCGCTGAGGGAATAATTGATGTTGGATAAGTGAGTGAGTGAGTGAGTTTAGTTTTTCGCCGCTTTTAGCAATATTCCAGAAATATGACGGTGGGAGACACCAGAAATGGGCTTCACACATTATACCCATGTGGGGGAATCGAACACAGGTCTTGACGAGCTGTGCTTTAACCACTAGGCTACCCCACTGCCCCTGATGTTGGATAAAGAATTATTTGACACATAATTCCTGACCCATCACATACAAATGTACCACCCATTGCATACAACACAAAAAATCGTAATTGTTATATTTCTGACATTCTCAGAAAAAAGGAGCAATGGGGTAGCCTAATGGTTCATTCGTCATGCTGAAGACCCAGGTTAAATTCCCCTCATGAGTACAATATGGGGAGCCCATTTCCGGTGTCCCTCGCCATGATACTGCTGGAATATTGCTAAAAGTGGTGTAAAACCATACTCACTCACTCACTCCTCAGAAAATGCCTGGATAGGAAAACAATGAAATCACTATTTTGGTATGTGACTCAGCCTGGTATCACCCTATCCCAACAAAATATGTGACTAAGCCTGATATCAACCTATCCCAACAAAATATGTGACTAAGCCTGATATCAACCTATCCCAACAAAATATGTGACTAAGCCTGATATCAACCTATCCCAACTAAATATGTGACTCAGCCTGATATCAACCTATCCCAACAAAATATGTGACTAAGCCTGATATCAACCTATCCCAACAAAATATGTGACTCAGCCTGATATCAACCTATCCCACCTAAATATGCCTGACTACAAAATATGCCTGATATCAACCTATCCCAACAAAATATGTCACTAAGCCTGATATCAACCTATCCCAACAAAATATGTGACTAAGCCTGATATCAACCTATCCCAACTAAATATGTGACAGAGCCTGATATCACCCTATCCCAACAAAATATGTGACTAAGCCTGATATCAACCTATCCCAACAAAATATGTGACTGAGCCTGATATTACCCCATCCAAACAAAACATGTGAGGGAGGCTGATATCACCCTATCCCAACAAAATATGTGACTAAGCCTGATATCACCCCATCCCAACAAAACATGTGAGTGAGGCTGATATCACCTTATCCCAACAAAACATGTGAGTGAGGCTGATATCACCCTATCCCAACAAAACATGTGAGTGAGGCTGATATCACCCTATCCCCACAAAACATGTGAGTGAGGCTGATATCACCTCGTCCCAACAAAAAATGTGAGTGAGGCTGATATCACCTCGTCCCAACAAAATATGTGACTAAGCCTGATATCACCCCATCCCAACAAAACATGTGAGTGAGGCTGATATTACCCTATCCCAACAAAACATGTGAGTGAGGCTGATATCACCTCGTCCCAACAAAATATGTGACTAAGCCAGATATCACCCTATCCCAACAAAATATGTGACTAAGCCTGATATTACCCCATCCCAACAAAATATGTGACTAAGCCTGATATCACCTCGTCCCAACAAAATATGTGACTAAACCTGATATCACCTCGTCCCAACAAAATATGTGAGTGAGGCTGATATCACCCTATCCCAACAAAATATGTGAGTGAGGCTGATATCACCCTATCCCAACAAAATATGTGACAGACAGCTCTGTAAAGTACTCAACATACACATTAAACTGAATTTGTGGCTGATGTTTCCCACAGACAGCAAAAACCAAAGGGAGTGAATGGGTTTAATGACACTTCATACAATGTAACACATAACAAGGGGAAAGTCAGCAGTGATACCAGCCATATAGGTTGAATACATGAAGATGGGTATAGGTTCTGGAATCATTACTGGGCGTGCTAGTCCATCTCACAGTGCCTGAGCCACATTATTTTCCCTACTGCCTAGCCCTCCCTTCAATGCTTGAGTCCTAACTAAATCAAGTCTAGATTTCCTCCGGTTCTGAATTTCTTATCTCACTGGGGCTCGTTTTCAATAATAATATTACTATCAAACTGACATATATTCAGAGACTAAGCGTCAGTCCACTGGGCACAGGGACACAATACTGCATAGTATAATTGCACTGACTTGAAACCATGGTTGAAAGTCGCATTATGCAAATACTTGTATTATAAAGGGACGTTTCTTGAAACCATGGTTGAAAGTCGAATTATGCAAATGCTTGTATTATAATGGGAGATTTCTTGAAACCATGGTTGAAAGTCGCATTATGCAAATGCTTGTATTATAATGGGACAATTTCTTGAAACCATGGTTGAAAGTCGCATTATGCATTCTTGTATTATAATGGGACATTTCCAGTTTCTATGCAGGTCATTCATGACTTATTGAACCTTATATCTCATTCCAGGATTTGCCCGAGACAGCTGGGGTCAAGAGCCACGCAGGATGCATCTCAACTTCCTACGCCCCTCGCCTGCATGGTATGAGTGTGGTGTGCAAATCCCCTAGCAACCACTACTGAACACGATCTTCCAGCATCCCCTAGTGACCACTACACATCATCTTCCAGCATCCCCTAGCAACCACTACTGAACACGATCTTCCAGCATCCCCTAGCAACCACTACACAACATCATCTTCCAGCATCCCCTAGCAACCACTACTGAACACGATCTTCCAGCATCCCCTAGTGACCACTACACATCATCTTCCAGCATCCCCTAGCAACCACTACTGAACACGATCTTCCAGCATCCCCTAGCAACCACTACACAACATCATCTTCCAGCATCCCCTAGCAACCACTACTGAACACGATCTTCCAGCATCCCCTAGTGACCACTACACACATCATCTTCCAGCATCCCCTAGCAACCACTACTGAACACATCATCTTCCAGCATCCCCTAGCAACCACTACACAACATCATCTTCCAGCATCCCCTAGCAACCACTACTGAACAACATCTTCCAGCATCCCCTAGCAACCACTACACAACATCATCCTCCAGCATCCCCTAGCAACCACTACACAACATCATCTTCCAGCATCCCCTAGCTACACAACATCATCTTCCAGCATCCCTAGCAACCACTACATCTTCCAGCATCCCCTAGCAACCACCACAACATCATCTTCCAGTATCCCATAGCGACCACTACACATCAACTTCCAGCATCCCCTAGCAACCACTACACAACATCATCTTCCAGTATACCAAATCAACCAATACACACCTTATTAAAACATCTCCTAGCAACCATTACACAACATCATCTTCAAGGATACCATAGCAACCACTGCACATCACCACCTTCCAGTATGCCATAGCAACCACTACACAACATCATCCTTCATTATCATCTTCCAGCATTAGCAACCACTCCAGCACTACAACACTCATCATCTTCCAGCATCCTAGTATCCCATCTTCCAGCATAGCAACCAGCAACATCACTCCAGCATCCCTAGCAACATCAACATCTCTTCCAGCATCCCCTAGCAACCACTACACAACATCATCTTCCAGTATCCCCTAGCAACCACTACACAACATCATCTTCCAGTATACCAAATCAACCAATACACACCTTATTAAAACATCTCCTAGCAACCATTACACAACATCATCTTCAAGGATACCATAGCAACCACTGCACAACATCACCTTCCAGTATACCATAGCAACCACTGCACAACATCACCTTCCAGTATGCCATAGCAACCACTACACAACATCATCCTTCATTATCCCTTAGCAACCACTACACAACATCATCTTCAGTATGTATGCCATAGCAACCACTACTACACAACATCATCCTTCATTATCCCTTAGCAACCACTACACAACATCATCTTCCAGTATGCCATAGCAACCACTACACAACATCATCCTTCATTATCCCTTAGCAACCACTACACAACATCATCTTCCAGTATGCCATAGCAACCACTACACAACATCATCCTTCATTATCCCTTAGCAACCACTACACAACATCATCTTCCAGTATGCCATAGCAACCACTACACAACATCATCCTTCATTATCCCTTAGCAACCACTACATAGCACCATTCTACAGCATCCCCTAGCAATCACTACACTTCACCTTCTTCCAGCATCCCATGGCAACCAACGTGACAACATATTCCTGCATCGGCCACATAACACACCATTACCCCTGATCCCCTAGAAACCATACCAAGACGTATCACCATCTACAATCAAATTTGTCAAAGTCATCTTCTGGATGGCCCCCGAGAGATGGGCCATGTTTCCTGGATAGCCGGACACTGGTCAGTTGCCAGTGTTTGCTGTGTGGCCTAACTATGAGGAACAATCAAGGAGGATACTGGAATTTGTAAATACTTCAATAGGATTTTCTCACCATATATGTCAATACTGTGCTGTACAATGTGCAGAGGGTGTTAAAGGGTTAACTTTTAACCCAATGTTCCTTAGCCATGATGGTGCCTTACAGTTGAGCAAGTGTTAAAGGGTTAATGTATAACCCTGGCTGTGGCTTATACTGTGCAGCAAATGTTACAGATTAACATTTAACCCCAACAGGACCTTACAGTGCAGCAAGTGTTAAAGGGTTAAACCATAGCCCAGACTGTGGCTTATACTGTGCAGCAAATGTTACAGATTAACATTTAACCCCAACAGGACCTTACAGTGCAGCAAGTGTTAAAGGGTTAACATATAACCCAGACTGTGCCTTAAAGTGTAAAGACTGTTAAAGGGTTAATTTATAACCCAGGCTGCCTCTACGGATTGTGTTAAGTGTATAATCATTAACTCAAACTGTGCCTTACACAACAGCCTTGGGTTAACTTGTGACCCAGGCTGTGCCTTACAGTACGGATTGTGTTAAGTGTATAATCATTAACTCAAACTGTGCCTTACACAACAGCCTTGGGTTAACTTGTGACCCAGGCTGTGCCTTACAGTACGGATTGTGTTAAGTGTATAATCATTAACTCAAACTGTGCCTTACACAACAGCCTTGGGTTAACTTGTGACCCAGGCTGTGCCTTACAGTACGGATTGTGTTAAAGGTATAATCATTAACTCAAACTGTGCCTTACACAACAGCCTTGGGTTAACTTGTGACCCAGGCTGTGCCTTACAGTACGGATTGTGTTAAAGGTATATAATCATTAACTCAAACTGTGCCTTACACAACAGCCTTGGGTTAACTTGTGACCCAGGCTGTGCCTTACAGTACGGATTGTGTTAAAGGTATATAATCATTAACTCAAACTGTGCCTTACACAACAGCCTTGGGTTAACTTGTGACCCAGGCTGTGCCTTACAGTACGGATTGTGTTAAAGGTATAATCATTAACTCAAACTGTGCCTTACACAACAGCCTTAGATTAACTTGTGACCCAGGCTGTGCCTTACAGTGCAAAAGACTATCAAAGGGTTAACTCATATAACCTAACAGTGCCTTAAAGTGCTACAACAAACAAGAATAACCATCAAACCCTCTGAACCCTGTCCTGTGCCTTACAGAGCCTTCAACCCTTAAGAGTTAATTGTGACCTAAAATTACTGTACTTAACTGTGCCAATATACTATAAGCACACCATCAATTATGATATTCCCAAATGAGCGGTTCAAAACACTTCATGCGAGTGTGTATCTCTTCATTATCGGCCTCTAATGATAGCATGGCACCTGGAGCTTACTCTATAACCTTGCTCTACATAATTTATACACCTAGACATAAGTTAAGCAGTTCCATTTTGGTATTTTCATTTATCCTGAATTATCTGTCTGAATTATCTACCTTGATGACCTTGATCTAATTCAAATATATGACCCATACATCAAAGATACTTCTTTGGCCATAAGTACAAGAACACTCTTGATGGTTACAAGTATTTGGTCTCTGTGATGTGAGGGGCGGCAGGGTAGTCTAGTGGTTAAAGCGTTCGCTTGTCATGTCAAAAACCAGGGTTCGATTCCCCACATGGGTACAATGTGTGAAGCCCATTTCTGGTGTCCCCCACCGTGATATTGCTGGAATATTGCTAAAAGTGGCATAAAACTCAACTCACTCACTCACTCACTTGTGACGTGAGGGATTAGTTAAAAGGGTTGTCACCCAACCATTCCCATGGACCTATTAGAAAGCATGACATTAGATAATCAATTTCAGTTTCTGTGTTTTGATATGAGTATGTCACATAATTGAAAATCATAAAAGTGTAATAAAAAAGGGTTTAAACATAAATTAACATGGGAATATACAGTATGTGGTGCTTAATGTTTTTCTCGATGTATATACTATATTCTATGTGTTGAAACATATTTAAGCTTAGGTTTGGGCTTCACTTGTGTATTTTTCCCAGAAACATGTGTATGTGGATGTATTTATAGACTATCAGGAATGTGTGAATCCTATAAGAGATTGATTATTATACAGTATACATTAAAAAAATTATTATTTTGAACATCAGTTTAATATCACCAAGCACCAATGGTGAGACAGGTGCGAACATGAAACTAGGAGTTAAAGAGTATATAAAGCTTATTTATCTCATAAACAGAAAGTTTATAAACATAAATAGCCAAAAATATTCCATCTCCCAGACACTAGAAAACAGATTAAATTAGCACTTCAGATTAAGTTATAAATGGGTACTCTAGCAGTTAAAGCCTTTACTGAGCATGCCGAAGACCCGGGTTCGATTCAGCACATAGGTACAATGTGTGAAGCCCTTTCAGGTGTCCCCTGCCATGATATTGCTGGAATATTGCTAAAAGCGGCATAAAACCATACTCACTCACTCAAGTTATAAATGATGTGGCAGATCTAGATTTCATCACCCTGAAATTAGGCATTGTTCGGTGTACCATTTGGATTTGAATTTTTTAATTTATATATGTGTATTTTTAATAAAAGATAACTTTTCGTATTTCAAGGACTACAACATGTATCCATCTAGTGAACACTGACACTGAAAATATATGGAATAAAATTGATTTCCAATAAAGCATTGTTACAGTTTCAAACAAAGTTTCAAGCCCCAGTTTTATGGAGGACCATTATAATCTAATCAACTAACACTAGCAATAACATGAATATAACTAAATAACTTCAGATTTATATATAAGGCCAGACCAATTTTATTTCTTGTTTTATGGATTTGCCGGTCGTATGTTTTCATATAAACAAATTTTCCCCACTCGAAAAACAAAATCCTAATGTCAAGATATACGGGAGCGAGACTTTGACTACACAAGGCTGTTGGACACTAAAACACCGTTATCCCTTCTCCGAGACTTTAAACTGAATTATCTAACAATATTTGTGTTAGAAATCAGTGCTTCAAGCACCTCAGCGAACTTGAAAAACAATGCCTTTGAAAAACTCATGTGGGTTTTGCTTTGACTGGTGAGTTTTTATTTATTTTGTCCCTCCTACCTTTAGGTTTTCTGAGGACAAAAATCCGTAAAACAAGAAATTAAATTGGTCTGGCCTAAAGGCACAAGTTCAAGGTACCTTCATCCTAGTAAATCCCAAGTTCTACCAAACATGTGTTTTACTTCAACTGCTATACCATAAACTAGGAACAAGGTTTAAAATTCCAGAAGACCTATTTCTGCCAAAGCCACTGACAAACTGGCACAGAGACATGTGCTAATCATGAACATTATGAGGAGGAAAATACATAAAGAACCTCACCAACTTCAACTTCAACTACTATTCTGGTCATGTTTACATGCTATTAATGTTGGGCAGTTAAAACATAATTTAAGATCAAGAGAAAGCATTGTGTCCTTGACAACAAAGTAGATTTCCAAATCTCACTGCTCAGATTTACAGACAGCGAGCTACAAACCAGCTTAAAACATCATTACAGAGAATGTAAACTACATGATTCCATCTGGAGAGATGGTTATACACTCTCAAAGACGTCAACACCTTCTGTAAGTTCTCATTGGCTGTGTCAAACTGGCATCGGAAATGAAATCCCCTAAATTCTGTGATGAGTTTCTTAAAACATACATACTCTTTGTGAAAATCTAGTTTTGTTTGAATTGAAATACAATGTTTTTATTTAAACATATTATATTATTTATATCTATAAAATAATAATAGTATAATCATATTCTTTGCAAATATACTCAACTCACAAAGTTAGGGAACATGAGTACATTTTTTCATGAAAATACTCCTAACAAAAGCCATGATCCCATTGTATTCAGCATACATAAAAGACTATTCAGTTCTGATTTCTAATTTTATTTTTAAACAATATCCAGACAAAGTCAATTAAGATAGAAAAATCCTTATGAATGGAATTCAATTGTTTGTGTAGGAGCTTGTTACATT